GAACTGGAAGGAGCCTTAGAGACAAATAATAATCACACACTGTATACAGCACTTTAAAGTCTGCAAAGAGAGAAAGGCTGTGTGACAATTTGTGATCTCAGAGTGAGGAAGACCTGGGCTTAGGTCCTGCCTCTCTCACACACTAGTTGTGTGACCCTACATGAGTCATTTAAGCACTTAAGGTCCCAGGTAACTCTCCCAGTTGAAGAGAAGGTGCTGATCTTCATTGGTAAATGGAGTTTTCCTCACTGGGTATTCCCTACACAAATTCTGGTCCATTCACTCTAAAGTTTGCAAAGAATTGTAGATAAATGATTTCATTTGTACTTCACAACAACCCTGTGGGGGTAAGTCTTAGGGGGTGTTATTGCGTTCATTTTATAGATAGGAGGATCAGAGAGGTAAAAAGCCACCTGCCTGTAGTCACATAGCTAGGAAATGTCAGAGAAGAGGTTGAACTCAGGTCTTCCTGGTCTGTCATGCTAGACTAGTTAATTTAGTCCTGGGGGGTCTTAACCCTTTCTTGGGTCCTAGCAATCTGGATGCCTATACACCTCTTTCCCAAAGAATGTTTTTAAAAACATGAAATCCATAGAATGATAAAGGAAACCAGTTTATTTAAATAAGGTATCGTTTTCCCCCTTATCCAAGTTTGTAGACCCCCTGAAACCTATCCACAGACACCAATTGTTCAAATCCTTTTTTTACAGATGAGGAGGGGAAATGACTTTCCCAAGGTCACCCAGTTGGCCAATGGCAGAATTAGGAGTCAAACTTAGATTCTTTTACTCCCAAGTCTTGCACCCATGTATTCTAAATGGCCTTTTCCAACTCCTAATTTTCAGAGTGACTGTTAAGTGAGAGATTTAAGAGACGACTTCATTTCTCCTGACTTCCAGTCATTCTACCTCACTGGGTTGTCTTCCTATGTAATCGAATGCTTGTGAGAGCTTTGAAGACTGCAAAGGTAAAAAAGGATTTTTTTTTTTTAGTATTACTCTACAACTTGGAGATAGGGGTGGATGAAAGTACCCATGGATAGAAGACATAGGCATAGAGAGACAAATGTGAAAGTGGAAGGGATAAGACATGGCAACAGATTGGATATGGTGGGGGTGAGAGTGAGGTGTTAAGGATGATACCTAGGTTTTAAGACTGGGTGAATGGGAAGATGGTGGTATCTTCAACTGTAATAGGGAGATTCAGAAGAGGCGAGGGCTTAGAAGGCAAAATAATGAGTTTGGTTTGGGACCTGTTGAGTTCAAGATCTGCACTAGATGTAGTCCTGTTCAAGAGCTTGGTTTAGAACAATGCAAAGCTTAGAAAGGCTTAGTGCCTATCACACATACATGATAGAGACAGGAACTTGGAGTAAAGGATTGAGGTGAATGAGCTGGAGGATATTGTCTTGAAGCAGCTCTATCTGAAGAGACTTTCATTTCTGTGCTTGTCCCTTTCTGTTTCTATTCTATGCTTTCATTTATGTAGGAGACCAAAAGAATCTTAGTTTTGAGAAAACTGGGGACAGAGGATGGAAAAAGAGAAGGGCCATAGATAGCCTTTGGAAGTTAGTTGGTAAGACAGTTCCTAAAATGTTGCTGAATGAAAACCTTTTGCTTAAGACACTGATGGGACAGCTAGGTGGTGCAGTGGATAGAGCACCAGCCCTGAAGTCTGGAGGACCTGAGTTCAAATCCAGCCTCAAACCAAACACTTGACACTTACTAGCTGTGTTGACCCTGGGCAAGTCATTTAACCCCAGCTGCCCAAAAAACAAAAACAAAAACAAAAAACACTGAGCAGTGATTTAACAATGACTTCCTAACCCTAAGTCAGATGAAAGCTTGGGACAGAGAATGCCCTTGATGAGTAGGAACTTGATAAAACTTCCACACACGCACATCTAAATTGTCCATCTGTCTGATGTTCCAATGAGGTAGGATTCTGAGATTAGGACTCTCTTTTGGGAGAGGATATAGAATAGAAAAGAATAGCAAGGTTTCTGAGGATTGGTGCTCTTCTTATGGAGGAGAAAAAAATAGCCAACAGTTTCTCCTTACTCTGATGACTGGGTATGAAAAGACCTGGCCTTCCTAAAAGAGCTGTGAATTAAGCCTCTAACCCATAAGGTAAGAGAAAGGTAGCAGAACCCATCTTTTTTTTATGGGTAAGAAGTAGCACCACGGCTAGAGACTCCAGTTAAAGGCAAAAGCTGGAAGCAGAGGAGCTCCACAACCTGGTACCTAGGAGAGCCACAAGTGGAAGCAACCAGAGGGATCAATTGGTCCGGTTGTGCAGGGGTGGACCACCTGTGGCCCTCTAGGTCCTCAGGTGCGGCCCTTTGACGGAATCCAAGCTTCACAGAACAAATCCCCTTCATAAAAGGATCTCCAATGGATTGCCATCCAGGAGGGAACTCAGAAAGCCACCAGGAATCCAGGTCTGATACAGACTACGTGTCATGCCTACACACTCAACAGATTTTTTTTTTTAAACCACATTAGGCCACTAAAGGGCAGACCTTGAGGCAATGGTGTCATGACATCACAAAAGATATCAGTGGCTGCAGTATCACAGGTGTGAGTTGCTTCTTCATCCACGTGCCCTGACTAGGCATGTTCCCCTTCTGTACGCTCATCCATGCATACTATACGTATTAAATGACTGGATACATATACTACATGATAGATTCATCTAGAAAACATGTACAGGAAGATACATGCCTGTATGTTTGTGTGTATGTATGTATTCATGCATGCATGTATAGTGTGAGTGAGAGAAATAGATACACATATACATACATGGGTATATCTTTGTTGCCGTTCAGTGTTCAGTCATGTGTGACTGTATATGATCTCATGGACTTTGTCCATGGAGTTTTCTTGGCAAAGATACTGGAGTGGTTTGCCATTTCTTTCGTGTGTGTCTCTGTGTGTGTACACACCTATATATTCACATGTATATGTATATATATATATATATATATCTATATATATGTACATATACACACATATAAATCTATGATCTTTAAACCTGAGATAGTTTATCTGAAATGAGACCATATAGGAAGTTGGGGGAGCCCCAAGACACTGCAACAATCCTCAGTCTCTGTAGAGTGACTGCAAAACAGGCTATAACAATCTTGTCCATAGCTAGTAATTACCATGTCCGGGACACACCCACTGTTGTTTTTGCAAAAAAAAAAAAAGTGGTAGTAGAAAATCCAGACATATAAGCACTTACCCAGGTGAGCAGAAAATTGTGGTATTTTAAAGATGCTGACATGCTGTAAGAGAAAACTCCCTGCTACTTTCTTTTGAAGTGAGATGTCCAAATGTATAACGTGGCAGGTGGCCAGGTGCTGATGAGCTCAGATTAGTCACCTGGCATTGCAGGCTATCTCAGAGAGTGTGTTGAGTGGGGCCGGGTGGGGGAAAGGAGAGACATTCCCTCTGAGGGGTGAAATTCTCTAGTCGTCCCCAGGAAAGAGAAAAAGGCCTATATCAGGAGGCCAAAACCTCCCCTCTCTGCTGCAGTGCAGGCTCTGAAAACGGCTGCCTGACCTGGGTAGAAGCCTTTGATTTGTTCCAGCAAAGCATGCTGGAGGAGCCATTAAGACCAGGAGAATGCTATCTCCATCATCAAAAACAAAAGACATCTTGGCATGCTGATGCTCTTGTTTATTTTTGCATAGATCTCGTCCGTCAACCACCCTGTTAGCAACCTGATTAGGGCATAGCTAGCTCCCTAATTACATGATTTTCAGGGGAAGTGGGGACCACGGCACGTTGGCTAGCCAAGGGATGAAAGTTGGGGGCCAGATGGACGCCATCCCAGGCAATAGTGCTGGCTCTGTAATTTCAAATGGTTTCCAATGGGGTGTCGGGGATAAAGCATTGGAACTACAGATGAGACTTGAATTCAAATTCCACCTGAGACCCTGTGTGATCCTGAGCAAGCTAATCAAGCTTCTCTGTGCCTCAGTTTCCTCATCTGTAAAATGAAGGAATTAGATTTGACGGACTCTAAGATCCTTTTCGGCTCTAAATTTATGATCTTATGGTTCTTTGGAGGAAAAGGATGACTGAATGAACCCACATTTATTAAGCACCTTTTGCGTGCCAGGCATTGTACTAAGTATAAGGGTCATAGATACAAAAAGCAAGGCCGTGCCCATCCTCGGGAAGCTTGCATTCTAACGAGGGTGACGACTCCTATAGAGGAGTACTGGCAAATCATTTTTTTTTTCATTAATAACAGTTATCTACATTGAGGGAAGGGATTATTGCTTTTTTGATTTTGTGTCCCCAGCGCCTAGCAGGCAGACATGCCAGCTCTGTCACCATAGATTTTCGGCTAAAAGACCTCAGAGGGCATCTAGCCTGACCCCATTTTACAGATGAGGAAACTGAGACCCAAAGCTAGACAAGGTAACACAAGTAGTAAGTGGCAGAGCCATGAGTCAAACTCAGGTCCTTTGACTCCAAGTGTGACACCCTTTCTAACGCACCATGACCCCTGCCTTCCTTGTCAGCCACTCTAATCTGCCCCTGACAACTCACTCCATTTACAGTTGGGGAAAGTGAGGTCCAGCAAAATGAATAAGTGTTAGCATTTATATAGCACTCTGAGGTTTGCAAAGCTCTTTACATGTGTTTTCTCGTTGGATTCTCTCAACAGCCCTGTGAGGTAGGTGCTATTGTCATTTCCATTTTACAGGTGAGGAAACTGAGGCTGGATGAGATTAAGTGACTTGTCAGGGGTCAGACAGCTAGTAAGTGATGCCAGATGTGAATGCAGCGTTTTCTCTACTTAGCCCCAGACTCAGCTTCCCTGCCGTCCCCTTCCTCTCTTCCTTCGACCTCATAAAACCCTTCAGCTCTCGCCAACCGAGTAACATCCTTGCAAACCCATCATATCCGACGACTGCGAACATCCTTCTTCGCCTCTTCCACAGTGATGTGTCAGTGTGGATTCTTAGAAACAATCTGGGACAGTACCTGCACACAGGTCTCTCCTTCAGTCTTCAAAGGAATTTGAGATTCGAGGTCACGATTTCCAGTCTCCTTGTCTCCCCTATTCTAGTCACCCACCAATGGGAGTGCTGAGCTCTGTGCCATGCTGGGGCACACAAGAGGCTGAGGCAGCTGCTGACACAAAAGGCTTCCCTGAGGTCTCGCCAGCAAACCTTAGGCAGTCTAAGGGGAAAGGGAAATAGCATTTATTACGTACCTTCTATGTGCCAGGCACTAGGCTAAGCACTTTACAAATATCAATTCATTTGATCCTCACCTAACTCTGGGAGGTAGTGCTATTATCACCCCCATTTTACAGTTGAGGAAACTGAGGCTGAGGTAGCTTTAAGGGACCTGTCTAGGGTCTGAGGCCAGATCTGAACTCAGGTCTTCCTGACACCAGGCCCAGGGCTCTATCCACTGAGCTACCTAGCTGCCTCTCTCAAACGAGGGACCCTGAATGTTCAGCATTTTCTTTGGGTGTCCAAGAATGAAAAACTAAGCAAAGAGAAAAAAGCCCTATTGTTTCTTCCCTGTGTTACCTCTCGGTAACATCTCAGAGTGGTGCAGTGGAAAGATCGCTGGCCTGGAGCAGGAGGACCTGATCACCATATAAAATGAGGGCTTTGGATTAGATCACCTCTGAGGCCTCTTCAGGATCCAGGATTTTGATCCTCTCACCTCCCCCCTCAGACCTCCCATAGATATGTTTCCAAAAGTCTCTAACAAACCCATCACTTCTAGGGAAAGAGACCAGACCTCCACCAAGGCAAGTAAGTACCATCTCTGCAACTTACAGCCTTAGGAGGCTGTCTTCTACAGTACTGCGATATAGTTATCTGCGTAGGATCACAAAGCCTGGATGTGTCAAAAGAGGGACTTGTACTCAGATCTCCCTGGTTTTGAGGCCTCCTCTCTATTCACTAGGGGGAAGCTCAGTGGAGCCATGGTACATAGAGCATTGGGCCTAGAGTCAAGAAGACTCATCTTCCTGAGTTCAAATCTAGCCTCAGACACTTACTAGCTGTGTGACCCTGGGCAAGTCACTTAGCCCTGTTTGCCTCAGTTTCCTCATCTGTCAAATGAGCTGGAGAAGGAAATGGCAAATCACTCTAGTATTTCTGCCAAGAAAACCCCAAATGGGGTCTCGAACAGTCAGACATGACTGAGACAACTGAACAACTTTGCTCACTATGCCAAGATGCCTCTCAGCCACATGAGGCGATATATTACAAATTTTTGCACTGTGGTCCTACTATTAAACTATAAGTCTTGTGAAGGCAGGGACTGTGTCTTCTCTAAACTCTGTAGGGTTTTGTTTTGTTTTGTATGTGAAGCTGTAAATCTCTGTTAAGTACAGAGTATTTTTTTAAAAATATGTACTATGTTTAATATGGTAGTAACAACATTGCCCTGCTTGTCTATATCCCTGTCTAGACTTCCTTCTTCCCTCTTCTGGTTTTTTTTTTAATGGTTCACTGATACTCTTTCTTATTTTTTTTTTTGAGGGGGAGGGGGCAGGTGGGACAGGTACTCTGACTATCACCCTCTGTCCTCTCAAATACCACCCCTTCCAGCAAATAAAAGCCTTCCCTCTGTAAGCTCTGAAAGAATGTCTATGGTACTGTGCCAGCCTTCTGCCCCAAATCTTTCCTCCTCACATGTCTTTGTGAAAACTTCAAAGCATCTACTGCCTGGAAATCAGGAAGATATTCAGTACTTGGGGCTCAGCAGAACTCTCTGGCTCAGCTACGGTGGACAGATTTCACTGGCTGGAAGGGGAAAGGGCCTCCGAGGGCTTCCACGCATTGCAACAATCCCCCACTAGATTCTGGAATTCTAAGTTCTGAAGGAAGGGGTCTGGCCACTGGCTTATTATGGCTTGGCTGAGGAAGGGGCTTGATGCTGTGTCTGAAACCCCACTTAGCAGAATAAAGTGATTTTAAAAACAAGCAAACCTGGACCTGTGTTTTTATTAATATGGAAACTCCTTCCAGTGACGCACGAACATTTAGGCAGCCGGGTGTTACAGTTCATAAAGCTCTACACCTGGAGTCAGAGCTCAAATCTAGCCTTAGGCACTTAATGTATGACCCTGGGCAAGTCATTTTAACCTCTTATTGCCTCAGTTTCCTCAAATATAAAATGGAGATAACAATAGTACCCATGTCCCCAGGTTATTGTGAGGATCGAATGAGATACTGTTTGAAACATGCTTGGCACAGTGCCTAGCACATAGCAGGGACAACATAAATGCTTAAAACCTTCCCTTCCCCTGATTTGTAATAGCCTTAGAATTGCCTGGAGGCACCGAAAAGTTAAACAACTTGCCCAAGGTGACAAAGCCAGGTCATTTGGCTCCTGTTACAGTGCTTTCCTCCCTATACAATAAGACCGACAAGTTAATTACATCATTATAACTTTCCTCCCTCCATCAATGCAGATGGGTAGCCTATACGGTCTTTGAGAGGTGTCCAGGGATGAGATGTTAAGTAATTTGCTCCTCCCTGGTTACCCGGCTGACATGTATCAGAAGTAGGCCTCAAGTCCTGGTCTTCCTGATCATAAGGTTGTCCCTCTGTCTACAAGGCCATACTGCCTTGTACGTGGATGCATAGTAAGGGGAATTTGGACTGCACAGTGCATGAAGTCTGCATTAGATGAGAGCTGTCTCAAAGTAGGGGAAGAGGCTGCTTTCAGATGTTATAGATTCCTCTGTATTTGGGGTGTTAGGCCATGTGCTACAATGCAGGGAGCTTCACTAACTCTGAAATGAGAGAATCTGGATTCAGATCCTCTCTGATGCTTACTACCTCTATGTATGACCTTGGGAAAGTCACTCGACTTCATCCACAAAATGAGGGGCCTGGACTCGAGGACAGCAAAGGTCCCTTCTAGCCCTAGGCCTACGACGCTATGGTGTCTTCCAGTGCAGGCTGCCTGGCCACTTTCTACGGATAGTGCAGAGGACATCCTCCATCTGGGATGGGTTGGACTAGACGGCAGTCGATGTCCCTTCTGAGTCTGAGGTTCTGTGTGACTGTCCATGTTATTTAGGATCTGGCTGATTTAACAAAGGCTGGGCAGTGGCATCCCCTGCAGGAAGGAAGCCAACGTGTAGATATGATGAATAGCTCCTTCAATCCATTATTAGGATCAGGATTAGGATTAGGGCTTATGGAGCACTTACTAGGGGCCAGCCACAAATAGAAAGGCGAGGCAGTTTCTGCCCTCAAAGAGTTAACATTCTAATGGGGGAGACCTAGAAGAGGGTTTAGGATCCATGGTCCCTTGGATGCAGCAGCAGAGCAAATGGGAATGCTCCTTCTCTAGCTTCACTTCCATTGATCAAATCACGTCCCTTTCTGCTAATGAATCGCTTGCCAGTGCCCAAGGCTTTTGTGGCAAGAGCAGCCTTTTCATGGTCTTCAGTGCCTGGCATTGCTGAGGAGTTGGAAGCTGTAGCGCCTGCAGAGGCAGTTCACAGGTCCCATCATCACGAGGAGAGTTTACCTGGAGGATGGCGGTGGGGACCTGGCTGGCAACGGGGTTTGGGGTCTCATTGCATTCTGAGGTGCTCTTCTGCCCCTTGGGAGCCATCGTTCAATGTTTGATGGTGGGTGGTGGTGGTGGTGGTGGTGGCAAAAATGGCAGCCCCCTTCTCCATGAGGGTTGCTTCACTTATCAGTGAGCTGGGCTGATGGTCTGGGGGACACTGTGATTTCTGTGCTCTTGGATTCTGGGTCCAGGACTGTCTCCATCAGGGTGGAGGGCAGATAGTCATTAAGGTAGAGGCAGTGGTTTGACACACCTGGAACAGGCTGCCTCCTGTCTCTTCCTTGGGGAGTCTCGCTGCTTCAACTACACCGGCTTACTTACCCTCTTAGTGACAGTTAATCAGCGACTGGTGGGGGTGGTGATGGGGATGGTAGGCCTCTTTTCCATGAGATTTACTCTTCTGCATCATGGTATTGAGGGACCAGGGTAAAAGCAGGTCCCAAAGAGACAAGCCAATGACCATCTATTTAATTATAAGATAGCCATTCAGTCAATAAACATTTATTAGGCACTTTACTATGCACCAGGCACTGTACTGAGCACTGGAGATACAAAAAGAGGCAAAAGCCCCAAGGAGCTCACAATCTAATGGGGGAAATCACAAGTAAACAAATATGTTCAAACAAGCTATATACGGGGGAGATAGTGAATAGTTAACAGAGAGAAGGCATTGACATTAAGAGGGGTTAGAGAAGACTTCCTGAGAAGGCTGGTTGTTGGAGCAGAAGAGAAAGAGTGTTCCAGGCATGAAGGTCCTAGCTGAAGTTGTAGCAACATAAATTGGGAGAAGACCTAGTCAGAATGGTGATGAATTACAATGGAAAGATGCCTGGTACCTTGACTAGCCTTGCGATTTTGGATTTTTTTTTCTTTTTTCTTGGTGAGGCAATTGGGGTTAAGTGAGTTGCCCAAGGTTATACAGCTAACAAGTATCATGTGTCTGAGGCTAGATTTGAACTCAGGTCCTCCTGACTCCAGGGCTGGTGCTCTATCCACTGCACCACCTAGCTGCCCCGCCATGTGGTTTTGGAGAAGTCACTTCTAGTCCTTCATTTCATCATCTGTAAAATGATGCAGTTGGACCATCTGATGATCTCCCAGGCACCTTCTACTTCTGTTCTTTGTTGATTCTATAAATCAATGTCATCCACACTACCATGGATTCTCTTTTCACTCATAATCTCTCATCTTCATCTTCCTGTTCCAAATCATCTCCCCACTGTCAACATCTCTTTGTCTATACCTCTTCTTCCACCATTCAGATTCAGGTCTTCACTTCCCCAAGCTCTTCACACACCCAAATCAGACTGATAACAGATTCTTTTTTGGATGGAAAAACCTGATCCCCTCCACGTTACTGGAGTCAAACCCTTTCGGCTTAGTGAAAGCTTGACCATTTTGAATAGATTAAGATGCAAACCATTACTGTCATTCAACAGATTTAGTCAACATTTATTAAGTGCTTAGTGTATGCAAGGCAAGAGGCAGTGTGCAGTAATAGATGAAGAGGTAGCTTTGAGACCAGGCATACTGAAGTGCCAATCTTGCCTCTAATACATCCTAGCTGGGTGACTAGGGCAGTCTTAACATCTTAGTGCCCCAGCAACTGAGAAGATGCTAAGATC